TATAAGAAAACAGACTCCTGCTTTAAAACCTTTTATTAAGGGAGCTGTGATCAAAAAATTAAATCTTCTTCGCTTGTATTTAACTAGAACAATATTGCAGGTCTTCATCCAAACAGAATGTAGAGATCCTTGGAAGGTGGAACAGAAACAGCCTTTTCTAACCTTCCGTTTGGTCTGGTCACACACTTCCAGAAACATTCAAACAAACAGCTGGGAGGAGTTAAAATGATACTTTACCAAAACAAGTTCCAGACAGTTTGGAACAAAGAGAGGGTTGTTGAATAACCTTGAATCTAAAGGAATTTGATATCTAATACTGAAAAACAGCTTCTCATGTGTCAGTAAGATAAGCTTTAGCGGTTATGCAGCCTGAGTGAACATTTCTGGGCAATATAGAAAAGAAAAAGAGCTCACTTTTAGGTTCTAAAATGGAGTAAGAAGAGAAATAAATGGGAAAATAATTTTCCCCACAACGAGGTCAAAAGACAAAGTGACAAAAAGGAGCAGAATGATGATAAGCGCCTTTTTAGGTGCTCATTTATTCACTTAGATGGATTGCCAAAGTGGCTAAAGGCTTCAGCTTCACCTCTAAATCCAGGATTCCTCTCTCTGTGCTTCATTATCCTCCACAGTGCAGCTGCAGCATTGAACTGGTTTCTAACTGTGGAATGAGGAACCTGTAAAGTCTTTGAAATTCATTTATTCCCAGCTTTGACCTGCCTACGAAATCTTTGTTGATTTACCAAATATAAAAAATGCAATCAATTTTATTTATTTCTTTTCAATCGTTCCTCCCAGGAATCGCAGCTCCAGGCTAGGAATCACATTACATCCACACATCCTTTCCACAAAGGATCATTCTTGTCTCCGTTTTAAGCGTTTAACAACACACTAAAGTTAAACACAAACAAAGGTGGTACAGCAAATCCTGCGTTTCTGATTTGGAATAATCATAAGAATAGAAATAATTCCTGCAAACTCTACGGCTTTGTGCGAGCAGCAGCCATATTCACTTAGAAAATGAGGGTCAACAGGAACCCATGTGTTTCCAGGTTGAAGTCATGACTTAGAAAGAGTCTCTAACCTAATAAAAATAAAACAATTAATAAATGTAGCCCTCAATTGGTGGAAAATATTTCCTTAATGGAAGAGCAGAAAGTGATTAAAATAAGATACCGAGTTTAGTCTCTAAGACAGACGTGGCTAAGGCTGATGCTAATATGTTTGTTAGCTGTAAAAATTCAGTCAGAATTCTGAGATTAAATTCAGAATTCTGGCTTTTTCTTATATTATACATAAATAAAATTTTAAAATCTGTTAACTTTTTTACATTTTTTCAGTGGCCCTCATCCTCTTCCGTACTAGAGGGATGGGGGGATGCTAAAAAACCGAAAGGATAGAGCTTAGCTAGATAACGCTCAATAGATATGGTTTGATTATAGCTGAGGATGGGTAAATATGTACTGGATGAGAGGGTGGAACGATGTTTTATAATGTATTACATTGATGGGTGGTAACTAAGTGGAAGTGGACTGCAGGGATAGAAAGTTATTCTACATGAAATTATGGACAATGGATGGAAGAGGGTTGGACTTACTGGTTATATTTATTTAGCGGGTGCAAAAATAAGAAAGAAAGCTAAAAACAATTGATCTGATTAAAAAAAAAAAAAAAAAGCAATTTTGTTTAAAAGTCAATAAAATATGTTCAAATAAAATTAAATGTTTGGATCACAAGATGTGAATGTGAACTTCTTTAGCTGCAGTGATTCCCTTTAGCTCCCATTTACCCTTAAATCCGCTTTACCTCATCCAACTGTCCTTTCTGTTTTCTTTTCGGATTCCCCTTCGAAAAGCTGACCAGATTTCTTAGGTTCAATCTGGGGACTTTTCCAGCTAGAAAACAAAGAATCACATGTTAACAAGATGGAAGCAAGCAAGTTGGACAAGTGGCTTTTTTTATTTTAGTTTGCTATTATTTAAACAACAAAACATTTTAACAGCAGGAACATGTCTCTCCTCACCAATTTCAGCATTTCCCCAAAGGTGGGGTATGATGATAAAATGTAATATTTAGGGCTGAAACAGTTAATCGATTATTGAAATAATCGTCAACTAATGTAGCAATCATTTAATTGTGAACTGGAGTTTAGAGACTAAAACATGCATTTAATTGAAAGAAAAACACAGTTAGAGCAGCAATTATACCAGAATTATAAAAACATAAACATTTTGTATTTAAGATTTAATAAAAAGGTTTTTGTCTGTCAATCTGTTCTATTCGGAACTCCTCAAGTGGAAACATTTTACCTGGTTTCTTTAGAAGAAAATCTTCTTTAAGGAACCTATGGTCATCGAATTATTAATAGATTATCAAAAAAATAATCAACAGATTAATCAATTTCAAAAAAAGGTTGGTTGTAGCCCTAGTAATAATAGAACACTAAAAAGTAGAAATTGAACAATACAGCTAGTAAGACGGATGCAAATACGGATTATTTTAATATCAGACTAATCTATGCCCGATATTTTACTGCTGAAGATTTTGTGGTGATTCTTGAAGCAGATATTGATTTTTCTTCTCTATCTATGTGATAAAAATGACTAAATGTTAGTGATTGTTAGAGTTAACCAAGGGAGGGAGTGGTAACATATGTTTATGTGCTCCCCATACATGGCTGCTGAATGCAATAATGAATAGAAAAAAGAAAAAAGATGCTGATACAAGAATAATTAATGCTACTATCAGCCACTTATAATGGGCCGGCTGATGTATTATATTTGTTTACTAAACAGAGGCGATGTGAATCTAATTTTAACTTAACAAGTAAAAGAAGACTTCTGTCAGAAGCTTTGCAGAAGTTTGTTATTTTTAGAAGAGTCTAATCCTATTACCGTATAACTTTTTAAAACATTTTCTAACAATTTTTTGTCAGGCAGCAAAATGCAAATAATGCACAGTTTAAAACAAAATCAAAAACCTCCTTTTTGAGCTATAAACTGGTACAATTTCTTTCTTTTTAGCATCTCATCGCCCCACTGTGATCCTTTAAAACCCTGATACACTTCATTGTATCTCTACTCTCCCATTCTGCAGAATCTGTTAGTTGAATTTCTAACGTTCTGCTCTCTCCGATTTTTCCTGTTTGGCTGTGACTCCTGCTGCCATCAACACCTTTGTTTATAGATCGGCCTCTTTTCCAGTGTGGTCCTGTTTCTCTGACTGTGACTGGCTGGATGTGCTCTCTTTATCCTCTGGCATGGGAGCTGGCTCGGAGCTCGTCTGCCTGGCTGTGTGTTTCCTGGACGGGGCCGCCTTTACAGCTGCTTTTTGTATCTCTGCTTCTGTCTCCTTGAACCCCAGTCGGCCTCAGCAGATGGCCGCTCACACTGAGCCTGGTTCTGCTGGAGGTTTCTTCCTGTTAAAGGGGAGTTTTTCCTCCCCACTGTCGCTATAAGCATGCTTAGTGTGAGGGATTGCTTTCGAGTTGATGAGTCGATGCAATCAGCTGATTTTCCTTAGATAGAACACTTTGAATCAATTTGACTGGATGATCTGGTGAACTGTAAAGTGCATTGAGATGTGTTGTGAATCGGCGCTTTAGAAATAAACTTAATTATATTGATAACATTTATGATTCAAAGATAAGCTGCTCAGTCAAAACAAAATGAATCAGTTTACGGTTTACCTTAATATCACAGAACAGCTGACTCAACGCAACCAGCTACCGTGTTGTCAACAAACACGAAGGCGCTTTTCTACACAGCTACCGTAATAACGGGTTTATGCGCAACCTTTTTCCTCATTCATCAGACGCTTAAAAAAAAAAAAAATTGGGAAATTTCTAGGGACAGGTTATGCAAAACAGGGACTGCAACCGCATATCGGAGACGTCGGATCACCTTACCTTTCGTGGGTCTCCCACTCCGTGGAAGCGTTGCCACGGTGTTAAACCGTTTCCACTTAACGATAATGCTCCTTACGGTGGAGGGAGGAATCTCTAAAGTCTTTGAAATGAACTTGTAGCCCTTTCCAGCTTTGTGCAGATCGACAGCTATCGATCTGATGCCTTCCGGGATCTCGCTTCCACGGGGCATTTTTTCCCGATAACGGAAGATATCCTCAAATATTTATCTGCAACTTCTCCCTTTTTTTTTATTTACTTCTGCTAGCTGCAAGGAAAGAAACGGAATCCTCTTCCGGTCTAAACCGGAAATGGATTTTCTTTTTTTCCCAATAGGAATTTTTCAATTGAAATTAATTTTATTTATTTATTTAAAAAAAAAATGAAACGCAAGAGGTTGGATAACGAATATACACAATTATAAGGAAAACACATAAAAAAAAAATAGGAACAACCGCTGAAAAGGTTTTTTTTCTGTTTAAACTTTATTTATAATCAAATATAATGGCAAAAAAGAAGACAAAGGAAACAATGGGTTGATTTACCGGTATATAAAAAAATAAAAAATAATTTAAAGGTCCACGCTCAGGTTTTTTTTTTTTATCCTAATCAATCTGGAATTAGCAAAACATAAGTATTTCAAATTGAAGGCAACCGAAAAAATAAATAGCTTACTATAGTTTTGTTTTAGCTCATTTGTTTTTTTTTTGGGGGGGGGGGCTGCAGCAGTTTTATAATAGTTTATTTTGCCCTTCAAAATAGGTTTCAATTTGTTTGAATATTTCATAAAATTGAAATATTCAAACAAATAAATATATATATTTTTTATAATCCAACTTCTGAACCAAACAAGTTTATTTATATATATAACATCTATTGATCCCAACACTGGTATCCCTCAATGAAAAATTTAGTATTTGCTATTTTCAGCAGGAGGAAAAAAAAACCAAAGCTGAAACCCAGAAGTGGTCTTTAATGTAACGTTTGATTGTTTTTGGGTACCATGGCTTCCTGGTCCTCCTGAAATAGTGAGCCCGGGTCTATTATTCTTTAAAGGTGCCTATATGGAAGATGAGCAACCTTTTCCTAGGACCCTTGCTGAGGGACTGCTTAATTCTGACATTGCCTACACCAGCTCAAACATGAATAAAATTTGATATTGTTTATTTTAGTGTTTTTATAGCTTTATATTAAGTGTTTGTGTCATAGTAGAAGCTGAACCTCCTGTCCAGTACGATTTATTGAGTCCATTCCATCTCCAAGTAGTAAACTGGACTTCTTATGACTGTCTTAAAATGATATCTGTGTGACAATTTTCCATACATATAAGATTTTTTAGTATAGTTCTGTCAAGCGATTATCCCACCTGAGCTGTTTACCAAGCGACCTCCCTGACCGACGCTCTTCTTGCCGTGTCTTGTTAGATTAACTGTTGTGTCCACATTCTTCCTTAAATGTCAGACTGAACAGAGGCTGAGATGATCCGAGCAGGTTTTCTAACTTTCTCCTGCTTTAAACATCTCAACATTCTCCCTGCCGCCTTCCTGGCTCAACATGCTGCTGTTTGATCATTCATGTTCCCTAACAAACCTGAGGAACCTCCATAGAACAGCTTGATTTATACTGAGATTAAGTTACACACATTTGGAAACTGTTCACTAATTTGCTGATATTTTTAAATCAGTTTGTTGGAGCAGATTTTCTTTAGGGCTATCAGAGTATATATAAAAAAAAACAATGTTAGATGTTTATTTGTAAAAGAAAGCAACAAATAAACCCCTCTTCTGAACTGACGCTTACACCTCTAATATCAAACCAATGGTGTGAAATGTAGAAAGCAGACGAGGCAGATTATATTTTCATGTCTGCAGAACAAGTTCCTTGAATAAGTCTATTTTCAGAGGTTTTAAATTAAAGATTTATTCCTGATATCACACAAACAACATAGTATGATTAAAACTTCACTGAAACTGAAGATACTCAAACATACATGCACTAAAACTGGTGTGTTTTAAATCCTTAATCTAATATAGACCACAGAGATGAACACACAGCACAACATGTCATGTTCAATGATCTGGTTCATCTTCATTTATAAACATGTAACTAATTCACTCAAACTCATGTGCCTCCATGTGTGTATGTGCCGTGCGGCCGGCTGTCTGTGGCTGAAGTTTTTAAGTGTGTGAGGGGAGGTTCTGAGGAGGTTCTGCTGGCAGATTGTTTTGGCCTTCCACAGGAACTTTGACCTCTGTGATGTGAAGAAGAATGAGAATCTGTTAATAAGATCCAGAATCCACAGAACAAACTCAATCAGCTTATTGGGTGTCAATTATGAGGTTCACCTTCGGGTTTCTGTGTTTGTGGGTGAAACTGGAGCTCTCCGTTTGGACCAGCAGGGGCCTGGCCATTTCCAGCTGCCTGCTGTTCTTTTTGCCTTTGAGACATTTCTAGAACTGCCTGGAAATAAAAATAAAATAAGGCTTAAATTAACCCCCATTGGAGACTCCCACACCAGTTCTTCCTTTTGTAGTCTTTCACCTGCTGATACTCTCGTTTCTGCGCCTCCAGGGCTTTGCCTCTTTCCCTCAGCAGTTCCTGCTCCTGACGAAGAGTCTCTGCTTTCCTCTTCAGCTCCTCCTCTCTGTCTCTGAGCTCGGCTTCAAATCGCTGGAGCTCTTCCTCCGTGTACAACGGCTTAGCATCCAGCGTCTAAGAGAAACCGAAGACATTTACAACACATTAAAAAAAAAAAATATATATATATATATCCACAAAACAGATGTTTTCATGGGAGCAGCATCCCTTCCAGCCTCTTACCTCCCATTCTTTAGGGTTATTAAACTCCTTCTTCTCTGTGGATCTGAGGAACTCCTCCAGGCTGACGAGCCGATCTTTGTTTATGTCCACCTTTAAACATAGGGAGAGCGTCTGCATCAGTCAAAGCGAAACGAGACAAAATGAGGCAAAGCAGATGAACGAGACGAACATTTTTCATGACATGCTCCCTCATCCTCAGCCTTTCTTCCTCCATCTCCATCATGTCATCCTCTTCGTTCTTTGGATCGTAGACCTTCTCCAGCTAGATGTTAAAACACGTGAGCAGGGTTATTTTTATAATACAAATCATTGGATTCACAAAAAAAAGCTAAATAATTACATACCTCTTTGGTGAAGAGAGCCTCTAATTCCTGCTCGTCTAAAACTCCGTCTTCATTAGTATCTAAGTGAAGAAGACATAGAAAGAATTACTCAGACTGGATTTATAAGGGTTATGTAAAGAAGAAGAGCAGTTAAAAGGTTGAACTACCATGAAGTTTGAAGAACGTTTTAGGGTTGAACTCCTGAGGGTCTAATCCGTCCGTCTCTTCCCAAACCTCCCTCAGCTGAGCAACACTTCCCTGATCATCAGATAAATCCTAATTAATCCAGGAAACGTTTTGTAAAAGAATGTTTTCAACACAGAGGTCTCTCTCACATACCGGAGCGTTGACTTTAGGATGCTTGCGATGTTTCTCCTTCAGCTCCTGTATCCTTTTTTCCTCCTTCTCCCTCTTCTCCTGATCCAGGCCCTTTAGGTACTCCCTCCTCTCGTGCTCCTTCAGCATCTCGTAGCGTTTGAACTCCTCGTGCCTCTCTACATCGTAGTTCTCCAAGTCCTTGGTGGCCTGGATAAGGAAACGAGAAGCCAAATATGGGTCGGATGTGCTGAACATGGAACGAAGAAGGCAGGAGGCTGCTGCTGCAGCTTCTTACGGTTGAGATGAGCAGCTCCAGGTCTTTGGCCTCGAAGGTGTTTTGGTTATGTGGATCCAGGTGTTCGAACTGCTTCAGCAAAGAGGCGTGGTCCATCTGAAGACCTGCATGACATAAACGCGTCACCAAATGCACCTAAATGGTGTTCTGTAATACAAACTCTCCATTTTTTTTTATTTATCTTTTTTATTCTTTATTTCGAACATGCAAGAGAAAACATTGGAGAGAAAAACAACAAAAAGGTACACTTCTTTCCTATATTAATATACCTCTATTACATGTGCGAAAAGGAGTAGGAAGAAGTAAAACTTATGTACTCCTACCCCTTTAATTGTTGTATTTCTTCAATTTACAATATTTATAATTATGTTGCTATATATATAAATACATACCTACCTACACATATACGTACATACATAAATATGTATACACATATACCTTCATACATATATACAAATAAACAAAGCTTTCTACAATGCTTCTCTATACCTTTTGAAAATAATTTCTTTGTAAATTTTTTTGAAAACGAATATGTTTGGGCATTGCTTTAGGTTCTCATTTAGTTTGTTCCAAAATTTAACTCCGCAAATAGATAAACATAATCTTTTTCTTGTTGTTCTACATCTATTAGTCTTAAAATTTCCCCTTCCCCTTAAATCGTACCCTCCCTCCATTTCAGAGAACATCTTTTGTATATTTCCAGGCAATAGGCTATGTCTTACTTTGAACATGAATACTGCAATTTGGTATTCTATTAAGTCCTGGTATTTTAGCAATTTAGATTTTAGAAATAATGCGTTTGTATGATCCCGAAGTCCGGCGTTGTGAATGATTCTTATTGCTCTTTTTTTGCATTATGACTAGTGGCTGTAATGAGTGTTGATAAATGTTTCTCCAAACCTCTACACAGTAATTCAAATAAGGTAACAGTAGTGAGCAGTATAGGATGTGAAGTGCTTTGGAATCCAGAATGTACTTAGCTCTTGCAAGGACTGGAATACTTCTGGACAGTTTGGTTTTGAATTGTTTTATACATACTAATAAATGTTACATTTTGCCAACAGAAACTTACAATTTTCCTTTTGCTCTGTTTACAACAGAGCCCAACAATGGGTCATCAGATGTGTTGCCTGCTCCTCTGTGATGCAGATCGTTCATTAAATTGCATCGCAAAGGTGCCCTGTTTATTTGGGATCTGGTGACATCAATTCGAACTAAGGAACCAGTTTTTTTAGACGGTTTTAGATGTAAATAGCTCATCCAGATGAGAGTCCAGATTCATTATTGACTGAATGTGTTAATTAGCCAAATCAGATAAAAAGGTGGGATTACTCTTTTTTTTTTTTAGGGCTGTAAATCTATCTAGCACATTCAAACACCTGCTTCTACACTAATTTACATCAGATGCTTTGTAGCACAACAAAACCCACTGATGGAAAAGTTCTAACCTTTTTAGTATTCTGTAATCATAATTTGGTAATCATAATCATGGAGGCTCTCTTCACCAAAGAGGTTCGGAATTATTCAGCTTTTTTTTGTGAGTCCCTGCTCACATGTTTTAACATCTAGCTGGAGAAGGTCTATGACCCAAAAAACGAAGAGGATGACATGATGGAGATGGAGGAAGAAAGGCTGAGGATGAGGGAGCATGTCATGAAAAACTTTCCTAATCTTGGACCGGGTCTAATCCAAAGATTAGACCCTTAACCCCCATACTTCTCCCCGGGCGCTGCACAATGGCAGCCCACTGCTCCCAAAGTGGATGTGTTAAACGCAGAGACTTAATTTCTTTGCTCTGTACTTGTGTCAGCGTAATGACAATAAAAGCAAAATGCTCAAATTAAGATGAATCATCCTTTGTTTCACTTGAACAAAAAAAAAAAAAAGATGCAGCTACAGCAAAGGCAGGCCTTGTGACCTTCAAAGCAGGAATGCAAGTCAGGCTTTCTCAGAATCCCTGATTTACTGTGAGCGTTATCTGTGCGACATTCCAAAGGAGGTGTCGTTTCACACACAGAGGAGGGGTTTCTCTGCCAAAGTGAAGAACAGATTGGCTCCATCTTGGGAGAGTCGTTCTTCTCTATTAACAAGTAGAACGCCTGTGATATTTCACTCTGGTTTCTCTTTTAAGTCACGTGAATCTTACAATTTTACCGACACTAAATCGATCCTAGAATCCTTCGAAAGAAGCAAAAAAGAACATCACCCCCCTCAGCTTGTGCAAAATGAAACAGACATGGGTATGATCGACGCCATGCTTCTAACTAAAACAGCAGCTCAGAAAAACATGACATTGTTCAGAACAAAATGAAATCAGTAAAGATTTATGTGGAACTAGGTGTGTCTTCTATCCTTTCTAATAAAATCAGATGTATGGATGTAATTCTCTGTGGTTTTGTTCAATGTCTGCAAAGAAAAGCCACAACAGAATAAAACTAAGGGAATCATACCACAAACATGAAATTTTGCATTTAATAGAAGAACAAAAAAACATCTTGAACTTAAAATTAAAGAGATGAATAGAATAAATCTGATGTAAGAAGTGCAAGCTCCTAACAGCCGTTCAACGATGAATCAGAAGCTTTGGGGAAGCGAAGGGGATGTATTAGCAGTATAAATATACATGTTACCATTTAAAACAATGAAATAGGGATAAAACATGCTCTATATAATCACTGTAAAATTAACTACATTATTTTTCAAAGGGATCTACAGCAGAACAGATTTGTTATCATAGATGAGCACGAATGGTTGTTTGCGTTAAATAGTTGCTGTGCCTCCTGCTGTTAAGATAATTTTCATTCATTCAGATCTTTGATTGAGAGCCACTGAGAGAACAGATGCTCAGACGGGAGAGGCCTTTGCTGAGGTGGAATCGCTCCAAAGTATTTTGAAAGTCAGCCGATATGCAGATGGAGAACCTGAACCTTTAAAAATAAGGTTTTAAATCTGACCTAAAAGGTTTACTTGGAACTAGAGATCAATATAGGTTGTTTTCAAGGCCCATTAAAATTATTTTATATTTCATTAACGGTTAAAAAGTGTAAAACTGGCTGTATGGTTGGAAATGCAGTTAAAAACCACTTGATGTGCGCTGATGATATAGTGGTTTTTATTCCAAGCCCAGCTGGTCTTCAGAAGCAGCTTAATGTGTGTGGTAAGCAGTCAACTTTATGACGTTAAATTCAACTCATCAAAAAGTGTAATTTTATGTTTCACTGAAAAAGACAAATATAGGCCTTTCCCTAATTTTAAGCTCTCTGGGATTTTATCAGCATCGGTCATGTGCTAACAGCCTGTCTATCAGGTGATGAGGACACTTACCGTCAGGTCAAAATGCTATGTACGCTAGCTAATGTTCTACTTTAGAAATTTAAATTTTTATCTGATTAGTTGAACTGGACTTGTTTAGATCATATTCCACTTTACTGCATTTACTACACTTTACTTATGGTGCAATTATAAGATAAGATTGAAGGGGCTTATAATAATGGAGTAAGACGTTTGCTAAAGCAGACCAGCTGGAGCCGTGCCAGCAAACTGTGTGTGTTTGGGAATGTCATCTCTGTACTGGCTGTTTTATGTATATATTTATTTGCATTCCAAATGAGTCTAATAATAGAATTATCCTACTGTTGAATAACATTAAATATAGTGCAGCAAGATACATGTCTGTATATTGGAAACATTGGTATGACTGCCTTCTATAAGATTAGGAGTGTGTTGTAATTGTAATTTTATTCTTTTGATATTTTTATCTTATTTCATCTGTTCCATCCAGCCATCCAGCCAGCCAGCCAGCCCCTGTATGTGACTTTTTCAGCCATGTTTGAAGCAATATTGATTTTTCTTCTTCCATTTAAATGTAAAAAAAAAAAAGAGACGTTTATCTAAAAAAAAAAAAAAAAGTACAGACCCTACGAATACTTGGAGGCATCGGCAGATACCAGGAAAAAACACCAATATCTGCGCACGGTATTGGCTGACAGACATGTCAGTCTGCCTCTAGGGTTGTCAAAAGTATCGATACTAAAAAAGTATCAATACTGAAACGTTGTGTCCGGACACAATACTCATTTTCAAAAGTATCGATACAGTGCCACCACCAGTGGCACCTAAACAGTCATTCATCTAAAGTGCAGAATAGAGGAAAATGCACTTTCTGAACCTGTGTGATTGAATAATTCTGTGCACTTTTCAGTTTCAGACTTTTTTTTTGTAAGAGGTGCAGCTGCTGAGAATGATTTTTGTTTCTTAACTGGTTTGGCTAGTGTCTTGCTATCTGTGCAAAGCATAGCCAAGTAAGGAAAACTTCATTTTAATTTTGAAAGTTTTTTACCAAGCTTGCTTAATATTGTGCACAGCAAACAACCTTAAAATATTCTTCTTATTGTTTATTGTATTTATTTATTGTATTTCTATTATTAATGAAAATTTCTGTTGAATTTTGGAGTCTTTGTTTTTATCCTTGTGGTATCGAAAATGGTATCGAGTATCGAATATTTTCCTTAGTATCGGTATGAGTTGAAAAGTTTAGTATCGTGAAAACCCTATCTGCCTCTACTCATGACCACACAGATTCTCTTAATTAGAGTTTGGTATCAAATTTAGTACTTGTATTGGTATTGACCAAATGCCCCCGGTACCATCAAGTACATATAAATGTGTAAAATACACAGTACCATGTTTTGGTCCATAACTGCATCATCGCGACAGAGCAGGAGTGGAAGAATAGTTGATTCTCCACGGTGGACATGATTGCTGGAGCAGGAACATCATAATGTCAAAAGTAAATCATGGAAACTCACTCTGGGTGTTGGTGCTGTCCAGTTTGGCCCTCAGCAGCATCCTGAGGCGAGAAACTTCCTGCCTCTTCAGCTCATCCAGTCGGGTCCTGACGTGATGACCAACCAAGTCCAGCTCCTTACTGAGACGCCCGTTCTGGCAGAAAGCAGCAAACAACCAGCTGAATATGGCTTTAACAGTTTGAGGAACCATGTTAGTCAAAACTGTCATTTCTAAATTAATGGGGCCTAAAGAAAGTTGACCAGATCTTTACAAGCTAAACTCAAAGCCTTATAAACAACAAGCTCAATAGTTATAAACACTTAAAAATAAAAACAATGAATTAGCATCCATTTGGTTTAGAAAATTGTATAAAAATAAAACCCAGACCAATGGATATTTAGGTTTACATATAGATTTGCATCTCAATTTCAAAACTCATATCCAAAAAATTCGTAATAGGATTAAGTTTAGCAAACTTCATATTCATTAGAGATTTTCTTTCAACTGAAGCTGCTAAATCATACTTTTTTTTCCATGATTTTATCCCATATAACATATTGTCTAATAAGTTGGTCCAATACTCACTCTACTACAATAAAACCATTAGAAACATTATATAAACAAGCATTAAAAATACTGGATAAAAAAACCATACCATTACCACCACTGTAGTATTCTGAGGAAATATCAGTTACTTACCTGGAACAATCTTATCAAGTTCAAAAACATCTGTTTAATTTATAAAATCAGACATGGTTTAGCACCACCTCCTCTATGTGACTTTGTACAGTTCAGATCCAGTGAGGTCAGGGTAACCAGAGGGGCAGTGAGGGAAGATTGCATCATCCCCCGGAGAAAAAAAGCCTTTGGTCAGGCTGTCTTCTCCGAAAGAGCATCTCAGCAATGGAACACAGTGCCAGAAACCATCAGAGACTCTTTGTCATTCTCTTCATTCAAAAAGAATGCAAAAAAATGGCTTGTAGAGAGCTAAATTTGTAGGCACTAAGGTTTTCTGTGTGTATTTAAATAATTTTACAATTAATTTTTAAGTATTTTACATTAATTGTATTTCTTAACCATAATGTTTTTTTATGTAATTGGTATTGTAATTTTATCTTGTGATTTTATACTTGTGTTTATTTTAAGGTTGCCTTTTTTTATACCTGGCTGGGGGACTACTGATGAAAATTAGCACTCCTTAGCTAACTTGGGTATTTTTACATTGTTTTAATGTTGATTAATGTACACTGTCCCCTTTCAAATAAACAATAAATGAAATGAAATGGAACAATGTCTGTTTGAAAAGAGGGACCAAATTACAATGCAAAGAATGATTTTAGTTCAACAGCACAAAGGCTGTGTAACTGTTAAGCACGGTGGTGGAAGGCTCATGGTTTGGGATCAGGGGCAATTATTAAGCTTTCCTTTATTCTCGTGTCAAATGTGAGACCATCTTACAGAGAGCTGAAACTTAGCCCAATGGGGAGCTACTGACCTTGATGTCCTCTGTGTTTGCCGTCTGCAGTTTCTCTCTGAAGTGAGGGTCGGTCTCTAAGACGTCTATCACCTCTCTCAGGTACCGGTCGTAATACAGACCCGTGTCCTGCAAACGGCACACATTAAAGCTCAGGTTCAAATAAAGAGAAGCCAAATTAAAAGATCCCATCAGGACATCAGATCGTTCACCATGTTCTCCTCCTGCACTTCCTGTTTGGGCTCGCCTCCATTACGATCGATGGGAACTGACCACACCACTGTAGGGATGAACAGAAGCAGCAGCCAACCAGTTATCGAGGTCATCCTCCTGTAACAGAAGGAAACAATCTTTTTGGGGGGTTTTTAAAACAGCAATGAATGCAACAGAGTGTGAAGCACATTTTCATTTTCAGCTCAAGACCTTTTAAGAAATCCAGGGAAACTTTCCACACTAGTTTTATTCCAAAACAATGAGCCAAATAAGATTTTTATTATTGTAAATCAGCAGATAGTACAACTCATACCTCCCTTTAAAATCACTTTTAATCAGACTCTAGATTAAGTCGTCATCCCAGCAGATAAAAGTGCAAAGTGAGTCCGATCTTCTCGTTATCAGGCTTCTCTCCTGTCTTGAAGCAGCTCCCAGTTTTTTTGGAAGATTAAATTAGGACTGCAACTAACGATTATTTTGCAAATTGATTAATCTGCTGATTTTATTTTTTATTAATATATTAATGATTGGATAGCAAATGATTCCTTAAAGAAGACTTTTTCCGAAATTAAACCAGATGAAAATCAAACTTTTTCACTTGAGGAGTTCTAGATAGAGCATATTGACAGACAATCTGTTCTTTTGATATAATTACTGCTCTAAGTGAGTCACTCTGTCAGCTAAAGGCATGTTTTAGAGTCTATATACCCCAGTTAAGCATTAATCGATTACTAAATTTGTTGACGATTATTTCAATAATCAGTTTAACCACAATTAATCTGATTATTTCAGCCCTAGATTACATCAAAGTAAACATTTGACACAGTCATAATTTTTCTTATGACTAGATAGATATGAAATGATACGCCTTTATTTAGTGGCATGCAAACTCGTTAGCAATATGTATGGGTATTCATTGATATTCTGTCCTTGCTGCTATAATGAAACTGAAATCAGTCTAATAAACTGAGCATGTCATCATATGGAATCAGCTCTTTCTCAAACACCTGGATGTTTGGTACAATTCAACAAAATTTCCACAAAAGTAACTCCATATCATGATGCTGTCACCACCATGTTTTAATGTGGATACAGTGTTCCTTGGGTGATGTGGTGATTTTATGTCAAACAAAGGTTTAAGTTTGTTTTTTTTCATCAGAACATATTTTAGCAATCACAATGTTTTGGAAGAAACTAAAGGGTTTGTGACCGACCTTCTTGGTCTCAATATATTTAGATCAGAAAGGTGTTTTTTTGTGTGCAGTAAGATCATTTGTTTTATACAACTGTTTAAGTATGTAGGCAAGTACATAAATGAACATGAACTAATTCTACCACTGAGTCACTTTGATTCTACAATGGAGCTTCAGCTGCAATATTTGTGCGATTTCTGTTTTTTAACTTACTTTCAGACATCTAATTATTAGTTAGACCTACTTTCCCCAGGAGCTGAGCTGATTTATTCTTTTTATTACATCTCTCTTCTGTTTGTTTTCTTCTAAATGAATTGGGCAGCATATATTTCACATTAAAATGGACAAAATTACTCATGAACATCTCCCATTTTAAGAAAATAACCTGTAACTTCACTGTTTCACATTGTAGTGCCACTAAACTCAAAGTACAAATGCACTAACTCCCCCTGATCTTACTACAACTAGTACATTCGGGAAAAATGTAAAAGGCAGCATGAGTCACACAATTTGTATAAACAACAAATGTTGCTTTCAGGGTTTGGCTAAGCAGCTAAAGAGGAAAACACGGATGTTCCAGTGAGGCAGGAAATAAAACAAACACGGAGGGTTTACACAAACAGAAACTGGTGTAATTGTGAATTTAAAGAGTAGTAAATACATCATCCGTGCTTTTTAAAACTAATTTAAAACTGATAATTCTCACAATTTTATGGCTGGAACGACCAGTGCTAGTAGCAGAAAGATGTAGAAACGTCTAGCATTGTCAACCTGCGTAACCTTATTTAGCAACCTTTTTATGGAAAATATACATGTAATTTTAACATAGAATAGAGCTTCAATTAAAGATAATAGCGGGCATCGTTAATAAATACACTAAAACCCTTATATCTTACCGCAGGTGGAGTTTTAAAATCCACGAATCTGTTTTTGCCCCGGAAATGAACCACGTCACGCGAATGCAGCACGGTTTCAACATACCATCTTCACGTAAACTCGGAAACAACAGCTTCAGCACTTATTTACAAAGGTACACGTCCGTGATATTTGAAGAGCGTCACGTTATTGATGGAAAATGTATTTAAAACCGGGATTAAATTCTACTAGTGATCAAAGAATCACAATATGTTATCCTGCATTTTGTCAAAGCCGGGTTGCCTAATTTAACTGACATTGACTTTCAGAATAACGGATACACCATTATAACGCAAAGGCATCACCACTTTTCCCCAAATAGGAAGTATGGAAAGCTGACTGTGTATTTAAATTTGAATAAAAATCAAAACAATTATTATGCGAGATGCATCAAAAGTGTATCTTTAAAAAGTTATTGCATAGATAAGTAAAACTAACCCCTTTAAAACAGAAAGAGCATGCATAAGCAATACTGCTTATATCAGCTCATTATTCTGATGGACTGAGGCAGAAACCTTGCAGCAGTCTGGTTGTTCTGTTTTGATATTGTTGCAAAGTTGTTTTTTTGAAAATATTTCTAAAGCTTTATGGTATGAGGAGCTCTACTCCTGTCGAGGCTTTAAAACAAATCTTGGATAGAGAATAGAGACAACACCATTATCCTTAGAGCTTTTCTTCCATGTCAGAATTTTTCTGTATTATTCTTTTGCTATTGCAACATCACTATATTCCTGGATTCATGATGTCAAAAGTAATTGTCCTCCATTAACTTACTGTTTTAAAAATATATTTATTAACATTTTAATTCAATTAAAAGGCATTAAATTAAGTCAAATTGTAATAAATTAACACCAAAGAAGAGTGAACAATTGCACATGATGATAAATAAAGAATAAATATGGAACATTGAAACAAAAGCAAAGCTTACAAACAGTTAACAGACAGATAATTATGTATGGCACATGGTGCATGCATTGTTCACAAATAAATTAGGCACAAAATAAATTAAGAAGTTATATTAAAACATGTTAAGGTAATAATGAATTTATATCAGTTTGACTGATGTATTTAAAAAGGTTTGTGTGATAAAATGCTTAGAAATCAATCTCTCTCATGTCTGTTGGAGTCCCTGGCCTTTCGTTCTCCACCTCCTCATCCTTCTCAGTGGGGCTCTGCTGCAGCCCGCTGCTCAGCCGCTGCCTGAGGGCAAATTCTATCATGTCGCTGTAGCACTGCAGCACAGCCTGGAAGGTAAGAGAAACAAAAAGCATTAGTTTTGCAATCCATGAACATCAGCACCTTTATACAGTAAAAGGGGGCCTTTACCAAATCTGTCTGGCACAGCTCAGCCAACATCTCACTCATGACAGCCAGCTGAGCAGGCCCCTTGCTGCCTAGACCTCGCAGTGCACAGTTCAATGATGCTGCAGCAACAAGTGAGGGGGGGGCTCCAAGAAAACGGGAGTCACAGACACACAGGGCAGCCAGTGTGTCGCTGTGCCGCCTCAGAGTGGCCAACAGCTCCTGCTCAGATTCTCCTCGTTCCTCCATGGAGGCGAGAAAATGTGGGAGGAAGTCCTGAGGAGTCACTGCGGCGGTGTCCCACCGGAGGGTGGCCAAGATGATACGCTCCATTTCCTGAGGAAGAGAACAGAATAAGTCAATCAGTCAATGCTGCCAAGAATAAAACAAAGTGATTCACATAGCTTCAAATCAAACAGAGGAAATCAGGTTTCTGTTTTTACTGCTAGATGCAGATTGTTAGATATGAATTCAAAGTGAATAAACCTCACAGGGGCAAATCCAGGGACGCAGTAAGGGGGCCTGCATGTTGAGACAGTTTATTATCATTAATATCTATAAAAAAATTCTCCTTTATACAGAACTGAACCAGATCACAGGGTTTTTGTAAAAATTGTAATTTTTGAAGCAAATAATTGACTTGCAGGGAATTAATAATCCACTCATAAAAGCACTTCATCCATATTTAAAGATGTATCTAATTTTATTACATAAAAAAAATACCATTTACTTTATTCTTTAGATAATTTCAACAAAAACCTATTAAATAAACCTTGCATGTTTCATAATAATCTGTATAATATACTTTAAAGGTTTACTTATTTAGTATAAATAAGCAAATACGTATACTTACTCAAAAGTAATACTGAGTGTATTTATTTAAAACACATCAAGTTTATTATTTGAATCAAATTGTTTGTATAAAGATAACCTGATTATTATAGAAGTCATAAAATAAACATTTTGCTTTTGAAATGAATACATTCATCAGTATTCATTTTGAATAAGTACACTTTATTAATTCTAAACACATAAACCTAATACTTATGTGTTTATATAAAAAAGATAGATTAAAATACTAAATATGCACTGTGTATTTAATAATTTTGTAAAAAAAAAAAAATAAAAAACATCTAAAAAGAGTAAATTGGAATTCGTTATGCAAAAAAAATTATATAAAATTTGGTTGGGATATGTTTGTGAGTTATACTCCAGTAAACCCAAATAGATGGGGCGTGTTGGACATGCTTTTCTAAAGTGCATTCTTCAGAGTTACGGCTGCTGGGTTGCAGATATTTAAAGTCAAAAAGAGAGGTGAAAAAATTAAAGTAGTGTTCAAAGTAAAGGCCTGCTGCGCTATGATGACCACAAATGCTGTAAAGACAAAACTAAAACCCGTAAAAGACGCTGAAGAAAGGTGTAAACTAGATTTACAGTGAATCTAGTAAAAACCATCAAAGCATCAAAGACTTGTGCAATGTTTGGTTTTAAGAGGAGAAAAGAAGCCCGAAGTTATCTGCAGTTATTAAAAAATTGGAACATAAATACATGAGGCCACACATTCACAAAGAAGCCTCTGCAAAGTCCTGTTGGTGATAGAAACCAGAAGTGAAACATTTCATCAACGGATTAAAGTCTTTGATTTGGGTTTCAGGGCTGCTGAGAGTTAAACAGCGGATCTATAAACACCTAAATGGTATAATTCCCACCACGTATGGTTTGCCCTGTAAATAAAAACTCCATAGCCACCCCTGCTGCTCATGGACATGTCTGTGAAATCACAGAGAATAAACTGCACACTTGGAAAAGGTTCCTTCAAACCATAAACCTACTTGCAAGTTTGAAAGCTGGAAGCTGTAGTCGGCCGCCGCACAGAGGGCATCTGCGGTGACCGTGTCACACTCTGTGAGTTTGGAGGCAATCAGGATGCATCCAGCAGCCAGGCAGTATGGTGATACAGGCAGGGACAGATATGCAGACAGGTACCTGTCCATCAGGGAGGCAGACAGAGGGAAGACTGCTTCATCGCATCCACAGTCACAGCAAACCTGCAGAGCAGGAAATAAAGGTGTCTCAGTTGCATGAATTTAACAACTTTCTCTCAACTGTGAGAAGAAGCGGGAACATCAGAGGGTTACCCACCTCCAGGGCCCATTTGGCCAGCTCCTCCCTGCGTTCTGGATCCCTCTGGATGAGGGTGATGTAGAGCAAGGAGGGCATGTATCTCTCCTCCACATGGAGCAGCCTCTGGATCACACGATGCCCCGACACTGAGGGGTCCCAGGCGGCCCGTAGCTGAGGGGAACCCCGAGTGTTGCTCTGGCCTTGTGGTTCGCTCTGTTCCAGTTCTTGGCTCTGATCCTCCTCCGTCTCCTCACACCAAAGAGAAACAGGAAATCCTCCGTCCATCTGCCGGGGATGCTCTTCCAAGAGGTAAAGAAAGGGATTTGTCTCTGCTCTGATGACACTTGAGGAGGATGGAAGTTTGGAGAGCTGGTTAATCCCCACAGATGTGACAGGTCTTCATCTCTCCTCACTTTTCTTCCAGAGTTTTATACCAGCAGGGAGGCTGAAAAAAAAAAAAAAACTGAAAAAAGTGGGAGTGACCCATAAGGAAGAGAAAAAACACCACAGAAAGGAGGCGGGACTCACATGAGCCACAATAATAATAGGAGGAAACAATAAGGTCTGCTCAACAGGTGGGGAGAGGGAGATAGAGATGGAGAGCAAGGGGAGGAGCAAAGACGAGCAGACAAGAGAGGGAGTGGACCTCAGGGACCGAGGAACAGCTTGTCGTCGACAGTGAAAGAGAGAAGGAAGGGAAAGAAAAGAAAAGGTCATCTTCAGACTCTGACAATGGGCATGGATGACAAAAGGTGCTGGGTGTTTATTTACAACGTGAAGAAGAGGCAGAATATGTAAAACGCTGGAGGGAATGATGGACGTCTCAGCAGGCTGCCGGACAAAGTCACTCAGCTTCAGATGATTTTTAATTTCCTAAATCTTCTCAGAAATCTCTACCAAGCAAACAAATATAATTTACTACCACTTTCACTCTTTAAACATTTTTGTTGCTTTTAGTTTTTCGGTGTGAAAAAGAAATGCAGTTAGAGGAGAAAATGTCAAATAATAATTTTTTTAATGGCTTTTTTTCCCAATTTTACTGAGCAGCAGGCTACCACTTTGTTTCTTTAAGTCAATTCAAATCTCAATATATAAAGACATCTTGAGGAGTACCTCAAGGCTGCAGCCTCGGCCCCCTTCAATTAAAATGCTTCCATATCAGTTTACATTGTATTAATGAATTTCTTCCTATATTGACATGCTAGAAAAAAACTTTTTGGGGCAGCTGGAGAACGTATTTCCAAAGAAATTCTGGCACAGAATGCATCGTTTTCTGGACGTAATCATACAGGCCTTACGGGCCATCAAAGACTTGTTTACTCATATTCCTTGAACTTAATCAAAACAAGAGGAAGCAGTGTGTCGTTTTAATGCTCCTCAGCCGTAGATCTAGTTTACAAAACATTGTGATGAAATTATTAGCCGCCTTAAACTATAATATTCTAGTTAAAGCATAAGTTTATTTTTAGGAATGTCCTGATCCGATACTGATATCAAAATTCTGATTTCAACCAATCGATGAATATTGGAATATATCAGCTTTCATTTAAGGTGTCAGATATTAGAATGCTCATTAAAACACTCTATTAGTTTATCTAATCATTGCTCAAAAATAAATTGGTCTGTCGTTTTCATACATGTATGTATCGGTGAATATTTAAAGCTGCAGTATTGGCATTGCATCAGAAAGGAAAAAGCTTTGTTCGAACGTCCCTTTTTTATTTATTTAATTTCGATTTCATTCAGTTTTTTATTATTGTTTCGAAAAAATATGTCACAGCTTCTTTATCAACCTTTAAAATGAGTTATTATCTAAGAAGAAATTAATCATTAACTAAAGAATAAATATCTTTAATTCGTGCAATCGAGTAAAATCGCACTGGCTTAAAGGGGAACACCGTTTTTTTTACATTGGCCCCTTGATTTTATTACATCATGTTCTTCTCAACTAATATGACTTTTGTGTCATTTGGAGCTGTTCTCAAGATATTCGGTTTAGTTCTATCCAAGTAACGTCTTCTTGGTCTTCCTATGGGCAGCGAGTTGAAGGCACAAACTAAACTGTTCATAATTTATTCTTTATGGTACGCCAGCATTCATAACATCTAGGCGAACACATGCAAATATAATACAAAAGTGACAGACTGCTGCACCCTAAATGCACCAGCACAAGTTATCACAGATCCTTCCTCGCAGCAGCTGTAAGACTTTATTAACCATCAATGTTTCCAATTTCCTCAATAAGTTGCTACATTCATGCTGATTTTTGCACAGTTTCTATCTTAGTCACCTAAGTAACCTGCTACTATTAGTTTTGCACATCTCAGGTGGTGCTATTTTCACATTTCCATTATTGTAAAAATGTCCACAGCTCTATGTTGATTATTCTCCAGATGCACAGTATTTGTATTTTAAAAACATTGTACAGTACAGTATTTTGTTTAGCTTTCAAAACTTATTCTGTTATTTTTATACACTATATTAGGTCCACATTTGTGTGACCACTTTTGCAATAATCTTTTGCTGCTGTAACAGCACAATTTCCCCATTGTGGGTCAATAAAAGGATATTCTATTTTACTCTATTCAAAACATTTATGTTTATAATGAAAACCTTTCATGTTTCTTCTTATTTTTATATAACTCCTTATTCAAAAAGCATTTTAACCTTTTAATGCTGACAAGGGGGTTGAGGTTGCTTGAGGACCCAAAAGCATAGACGAGTGAGGCAGAGATGAGTTATTGTAGAATTAATGAAAAACTGAGGCAAACATCCAAAACATAAAATAGTGAGAACCAAAAAACTAGCAAACTTCAGGGAAAACTAATGTGGGGAGCCAGGGATGAGGAAGCAACTAACAACAACAAGGAACCAGCACTGAAAACGTGCACAGGGGAAGTATATATATGGGAGACAGGGGTAATCAGATGATATGGAGCAGGCATGGATGGAAGGGATTAGAAGGGAGCTAGGGGAAATGAGACAGGCACAAGGGGGCAACAGAGAGTAACTCAAGATTGCTTAAATATAACACAAAA